GCACGTGTAACCTCACCAATCTATGCAAAGAAATATTATAGAAGTATACAATATTATTCGCATCCAGATCAAAACATGCAACCGACGACACGTGTGTTTTGCCCGTCTGTTAGCCAGCGATAAAGTACACGTTACTTAAAAACAATCCGCGCTCTTTTCATTCCAGATTATCAATCAATTACTTAAATACAATCATATAAGTTTCTTCATCCTAAGAAATGAGCTTTATTGGTACTTACCCCCAGAATTGGCAAATATGTGGCTGTGTTTACTGTGCAGCTCTCTTTTCGCGCTATATCTGCGTCCATGAGGTGAGAGCTGTTTACCCTTCTCAAGTGTGCTTGTCAGAGCTGTTTAGCCCCTCCTCTAGTCGGCTGCTATTGGTTGCTCAGTAGTAGCGTCACTACAAAAAGGCGGTGCTTAGAAACGTTATCTGGGATTTTATTGGTTCTTTTCTTCTTCACTCAACGAAAGTTGACGAAGGACAAACATTTTATATAATACACTCAAAACAAAGGACGTTTTAACAGTTATATTATGCGATAGTAATATAGTAGTGCCTGATGCACCTCAATAGCAATGTTTTAGGAACAAAATAATTAATTAATTTGGTCTGTCTGATGCGATAACTGTTTTGATTGTTTATTATTGGTTATTCATAAGCAGTTGCATTACGAGTATTAAACCGATCATCAAGATAATTGTCACAAAATAATATAACTTTTATGAAGCCAAAATAAAAGCGCCAGAACTTAAAAGCTAAACTTAGGCTATAAACGAACTACAGCACCACGGTCGCTCGCCTTCAACATCACCAGCACCTGCTCCCGACAACTTTTCAAACTTATTTTTAACACGTTCAGTGAAAAGGATTTACTCTGTATATGAATTTTTATCCACGCTACATGGACATTTTCATATAAACTGGAATAAATACAAAATTAGAGCCAAACTAAAACTAAAATGAGACATTAGTAATAAATAGTATAGTAAATAAATGAAATAATCATAACTAAAGGACATATGAACGCACGTATTTCTGTACATTTCGAAATAAGGTGCATTAAAAGTGAATAAATCTTTGATTAATATGAATATTTTAATTAAAAACGTGTCTCCACGTACTATTCAATCAAATTCTAGTGCATTTAATCTATTAAATAACAGAGCGAGCGAGTTTTTGGATATGGTAAGATTAAACTTATTTTAGTGAATAAAGTACCACATTTCAGCTATCGTTTTGTTAGGATGGGTACACAAAATTTTATTTTATCCTTGCTTCTAGAAAATCCTGAATCGATATGTTTTCGAACAGCTGCTTGTGGCCGTGAACATTTAATTTTAACGTGGCTTTAAGCACTATGCATCGTTCAAGTTTCACTTTCACCGTGACTAAGCCAGTAAATGTGGTGTTTACATGGAATAATCAAATGAGTTTACCTTACGGTGCGAACCCCGAGTCTCCGCATCAGTAGGAAAGCGATACAACGAGCATCTTCCATACGAAGACTCGTGTTGCATTCGGGGGCAAAGCAAAAACAAAAACATGGTCGAACAAGAATATAAAATGCGGTAAACTATTAATTGGTTATTCTACAATTAATTGTACTATAAATTATACTACAATTGGACTATACTGTAAATTGATAAACTGTTCGGCGTGATGACGTTATATGTCTCCGACAGCGCCTTTAGTCCCATTTAGCAACTTGTTAGCAACCGTCTTTTTTAAGAAACGTAAGTTTTAAAAAATCACAAGTGGGGTGTAACTGGTGTGTTTTATGTCGTTGAATAAAACGTGAAGGTATCTTGAGCTTGTGTGAACCACTGACCTTATTTTAGGGGACTTAAACGAACCCCCATTAAATAACCCCATTGATTCTGGGACGATGGAACCGGAAGTGCTAAAATGCTAACTCTCTTCCGGGTTTTTGCCTACAAAGTGACATCATAGTTCCACCACTCTATTCTATAAAACAACATAATGCCCATATTTGATCCTTTACTGCCATCTAGTGGTTCAAAATCCCTACCCACATGAGGGAAATGTTCAGGTTGGTCTAAAAGAACACAGAGGTGATTATTATTGCCCCAAAATAATTAACGGAAACTGAAAAGCGTGTATCTGAATGTAACAAAAATATACGAATCAATAAATAAATATAAATATATTTATACTGCCTGACAGGAGACTATATAATCGATCCTGCAATGCAGGGTATTTGTGAGGGAAAAAAGTGAGTCTCACACATATAATAACTATCTATTCTATTCTATTCTATTCTATTCTATTCTATTATATTATATTATAAAAATGTAGTTGCATTTACTGTGTTTTACCACTAGGTGGATAAATAAGTAGGACATGTCATATATCAGGGGTGCCCAAACTCGGTCCTGGAGGGCCGGTGTCCTGCAGAGTTTAGCTCCAACCCCAATTAAACACACCTTAACCAGCTAATCAAGCTCTTATAGGCATACTAGAAACTTACCAGCATGTGTGTTGAGGCAAGTTGGAGCTAAACTCTGCAGGACACCAGCCCTCCAGGACCGAGTTTGGACAGCCCGGCATACTAGAAACTTACCAGCATGTGTGTTGAGGCAAGTTGGAGCTAAACTCTGCAGGACACCGGCCCTCCAGGACTGAGTTTGGGCACCCCTGTCATATATATTTTGATTCTGTTATGAGTGGTGAGCTCAAATATTAGATGACAGTTATGAATTTTCATTTGTTCGTTTGTTTATTTAATTGGATGTAGGCCATTGCATCTATAATCATTAACATGCTAAAATTATAAATAAGGCTGTGTTTTGCCCATAGTTTAGTCTACTGTTCCATGTTGCCTATATTGGGGTTGTCTGGCCTGCATGTTAAAAAAGTTGTGTGTTACCAGATGAAGCTGGACATTAAACTTTATGAAACATAAACTTATCAAATATACTGTATAATATGTTGACATACAGTAAGCTACTGTGTAACTTCATTCATTTAGTAGGCATTACAAAATGTGTGGGAAAATAAGTATTTGCAATGGTTCATCAACATAATAAGTTAGATATATGCAAAGCTTCAAAGAGACCATTTCTCACACTTCTGCTTCTGCAAGGCTGAATCATCAACCAATGCAATACTCAAAAATTCTCAAGTAATTTGAACAATCATGTTTTAATGCAAGACGTTCATTGTGCAACTTCTCAGTCTTAACACTTATTTAGTTTAATGCTGGTATAGCTGGTTTCTTCCTAACTCATTTGAAATTCATATATATGAGCTCTACGATTGCACGGACATGACTTTATAGCTGCTGCAGTTGATAGGGAAATGTTGGTGGAAATGAATTGTGTTGGCTTGAGGGCTCACATGCCGCCCATATCCTGAAACTTCGAAAGATCTCAGAGACAGCTTTACTTTGAAGAAAGGAATCTTGTTATTGAACATGGTCATGCACCCCGTCTCAATCATAGAGGATGGAAAATTAATTTTCATACCACCTATCTGCAAGCCTGTCTCATTCAAATCAGAGTGGCCACTGAAGCATGATATTTTCCATCCACTTTACTGGTGCATATGACACACTTTCCTTTGCTCGGTGGGGCTGGTCATCAGTGCATCAGAGAGAAAATCAGAGCGATGTAATCATACTGTACATTGGGAGCAGTACTAGGAGTTGTTGTGGTAGGTGAACTATATATTAGCAGGTCAGTCCCAGTTAAAGAACTGGCTTCATATCATCATTTCTGACCTCTGACAGAGTCTAGGCCTGTTTTTATGGTTTTCATGAGCATACATCAGTGAAGACATTCCCAATGAGCTACTAAGACCCTTCTTCTGCTTAGTTGGTGAGTCATTCAAACTACAAATACTGGTTGTTAAAAGAATTTATGGGCAACACTTAATAACAACTTTCATTAATAATATCAGCACATATAACTACATAATGCTTAATAGTGAGGATGCAAATATATTATGGATTACGAACGACTAAACATATTAAATTAAGAATCAAATATTGAAAATGTAAGTAGAAAGAGAGCAAGAAATCTTTTGTTGCATCTTTTGTTAAAACATGATACTCATATATTTATATATATTTTTATATTAATATTAAATATTTTAAAGTGGGTATATGTTACATATATAACACATGTACCCTCTTTAAAATATGCTATATTAATTAAAAAATATACACAGAAATATTTATTTTAGAAATAAAAATACATAAATATACAAAAATAAAAATACATTAATACATTATAATACAATAATTATATATGTACAATACTTTTATTTTAAATTAATATTTGCATTATGTTTCACTTGAATATATATATATATCATTTGCATGTTTGACAGTAACATTATATATATATATATATATATACAATATA